CATTATTTGAATATTATAGGTGTGTAAACTCAGCAAAATATTCTAAAAGAGTCCAGTAGCCCATAATAGTATTGGGTCTTCTGCTTGACTGACAATGTCAGAAATTGTTGACCTGATTCCCCTACAGCTCAACATACCAGCATGGCTTTACTTCTTATATTTCATTTTTATACTTTACTGCTGGATGGTTAAGACCATGGTAAAGCAGGACCTATGCAACAAGAGTTGTAGCTTTTGGGTCTGAGAAGGTCAGTGAAATCCCCTCAGGAGCCTGTACCTCAGAACCTTTGTCAGTGTCAGCCATGTGGATGAGTCACGGCCCTTGCTTGGCCAATGTGCTCTCTGTGAAAGCCTGAGAGAATGTTTTCTGTCCAAGTGACTCTCCTTAAGCACACTCTACATCATCGATCACTTTCCTCTTTGGCCCCATAATCTCCTTGATCAGAAAATTTGGGACACTACCAAGTTACATGATGTAACATACAGGTTCTCGTAAGTCCTGAGTCTTAATTGACCTTGGAAGGCTAGGGCCAAAAAGTTGGCTTTCCTTGCAGCCCTCCTTTTCCTCTAATTTGGTCTGCAAAACTTAGGTTGTTAACCATCCAGAAGACAAGCTTATTGTTATTACCATATTACTTAGGCTGTTAAGCTTAACCTCACTATCTATCTGCATATCAAACATCTTAGGCATAACATGGAACAGGTATTTTTCATCAAGTATTGAAATGTCGACTTTACAGAATATGATAAAAAATTTAAAAATTAGAATATATTTTAAAAATAGGAATAAGAATTATATACTTCTTATGTTGACACATAAGTCCAAAAAACTAACCATATACAACCTTGAAGCAGGATAGTCACACAATATTCCTTTTCCTGTCTCTTGCTTTCATTCACCACCCCCTTCTTTTTGAACAATCATCTACCCAAGAGACAGCATAGCAGCAACTGGCGTGTCATGAAAAGCAGCCTGTATTCTGAAGACCAGAATGACAGGCACTCCAAGCATGAAACTACTATTACAGATTACCATCTGTAGTGCAGTTGCTTAGTTCACAGGTATCAGTATGTATAGTTAGTCAAGGTGAGAATCTTTCCAGTTAACTGCTAGATTAAAAAATCTTCTGAAGATTCTCAGGATCATTGCCTTGCCCATCTTTTACATATAACTGTATAGCTTGACATTGTCATGATTCCTAGCTCTTCTCCTTTCCTTCTCTTGATTAGTTAGTCCTTGAGATCCTTCTTTCCTTTTACTTGTATTATACCTTTCTATTTGTATTTCTTCTTCTGAGTACTTATACTAGGGAAACTATATGATATTTACACATGTGTGTCTGGTTTATTTCACTTATGAGTATATGTTCAAGTGGCATCCACTTCAATATAAAGCCTTCGAGTTTATCATTGTTAATAGCTGAATAATACTCCATTGTGTAACAATTCCACATCTTTTTCAACCATTCCTCAGGTCATGGGCATCTTGGTTCTTTCCAAAATTTGGCTATCACAAATTGTGCTGCTATAAACATAGGCACACATATATCCCTATGATATGATGTTTTCAGATCCTCCGGGAAATTTCCCTGTAGAGGAATAGCTGGTTTAATGGGATTTCCAGTCCAACTTTTCTAAGGAGTCTCCATACTGATTTCCATAACGGTTGCACCAGTCTACATTCCCACCAGCAGTGGGGAAGGGTTCCTTTTCCCCCACAGCCTCTCCAACATTTGTTTTTGGGTGATTTCTTTATGATAGCCATTCTTTCTGGGGTGAGATGATATCTTAATGTGGTTTTAATTTGCATTTCATGGATGGCTAGTGATGGGGAGCATTTTTTCATATATTTATTCACTTCTTTAATTTCATCCTCTGAGAAGTGTGTGTTCAAAAGACAGGTATTTTAAACATGGACAAAATCCTGCTACAATATATATTTTCAAATCAAATTACAAGAAAATCTCAAAATCAAAACAAAAACTCAAATTACCTATTTTTACAACTGTGAAAAGCTAAAAAGCACATAGGAAAATATAATAGTTTCAAAGTTTTCTTTTTAAATATCTGGCTTCAAATGAAGGTTAAGTGATTGCATCACTTTAAAAATCCAGATACAGAGCAGCCAACAGATTTATATTAATTGCAACTGGAAAATTATAGTATTTTTTTAAAAAAAAAGCCAGCAGCAAAGAAAAGAGCCTAAATGCAACCTGTGTGCTCATCCCTGTGCTCAGCACTGGCATAGAACGGTGACCACCTTCCAATGATGATGACCTCAAGGAGGACACCATTCCACATGCATTAAGAATGTTGCTAAATTTAAACAGTGATCATAAATTTAATTGCCATGACATTAAACATTATATATCTATATCTATCTATCTATCTATCTATCTATCCATACATATAGATATAGATATAGATATAGATATAGATATAGATATAGATATAGATATAGATATAGCTTAGATACTGTGGCTAGAACGTCAAATGTGGTTCCCTAGTAGGTATACAGATGAAAATCTCTGTAGAAAATAGAGACAAATCAATGGTTTTTGAAGGATCCATCTCTTCCTTCCTCTGCACCTGCAGGACAGCCTTTCAACCCTCACTTCAAGATCAACAATGCGGTT